ACATAAGCTAGCGTACTACTCTACTAGGCCTAGGCTAGTACAGTGAGTAGTTTATGAAATTGTATGCCTAGTAACGTCGTATGTTTACGTAACGTTTTACATTATATTCCTCAGTGATTCTTTTGCAGTTGATAAAAGGCCTATGTATATATTGGAACATACCTATAGCCTAAGTAATAGGCCTATACCAAATTCACCTCTATACTACTACCACCTGTAGGCCTACCAATTTAACTGTTCCCTGGGCGGGTGGGTCCTAATTATCGAGAGTACTTAGCCTATAGCCTAGGTAGTGAGATTAGAGGCTAACCTAAAAATATAGGCAGACCTATGTTATCATCATTAATATTAGATGCCATTATGCATGCTATGTCAGAACTATTGATATTTTATAATTAGGTCAATTCGTATTGTTTTTATTTTTATTTTATTTTTTTTTTTTTTCAATATTCTAGTATGTTGAAAACATATTAGAAGATAGTAGGCAGAAAAGTGAGGAAGGTGAAAGCACACTGCCAGTACCAACAATTGAAAATGCATCATCTCATTTAGCCTCGTTTGTTAAAGAATATCAGCAGAGCAGAAACTTGCAGGTATTAATATTACTTAATTTGTATGTACTCCTTTCTCAGTCTACCAACTCATACTTATTTATAATATTATTGTTGTTTAATATATAGGCTATTATTATTATTATTATTATTATTATTATTATTACATCTATGTAGGCCTACTAAGTTTGTAATTCAGATATTAAAGTACTGTATGATTTTTTAAAAAATCTACATGTATATTATACTATTATAGGATAATTCAAAAACATCCACTACAAAGTGCAGAAAAAAAGGGACAAAGTCTAAACGCTCAATGCGTGTGCAAGTTGGCTCAAAAATGTGTACCAAAGGTAAAATTCTTATTTTTTTATTTTTATTTTCTGATATTGTTAAATGTAGCAGTTATACCTGCTGCATGATTAGTATTTATACCGTAGTAACTTTAATATCAATAAAATGCCCTTTCTATAATAAAAATAAATGATAATTTTTAGAAATTCAATATTCAATATAAACATTGTCTTTTGTTTACAGAAACTCAAACTGACCCCCAAATCACTGGAGTTGATTTGCCTTTAACAGAGGTACCACCAAGTGGTAACTCAATTTTTGAAGAACCAATCACTGCAATACCAGTAGGCACATCAACTCCCAATCAAAGCGAAGACGAGTCTTCACCTTGTGAGAGTGATCATCATGTTAGCATCTTTGATAGAACTTTCAATCCAGACAACACATATCTTTCATCATCATTAATGTAAGTTAACAAGGAATTACAAATAGTAGTTCTAGGAATTATTGTCATGTATTTACTGTATATTATTACAACAATGTACAGTATACATAGCATTAAACTACAGCCTGCAGTATATTTTAAAAAGAATTTTATTTACAATCTATGTACAGTATTTAAATTCAAATTAGAGTATTCAACACCATTTTAAGTTTTCTTCTTAATATTGGTTT